CTAGTGCCCATACGAAAATTACTGTAGTCTTGTTTTAGAAAATATCTCTACACATAGATGGCTTTAAAAGTGCCTAACCACCACTTAGTAAACCTTTGACCTCACCTGATTTCATTTTCCTTGAATTTTTGGAAATCTTTTTTTATACAAATGCTATCAATATTGCTGCTGTTATAATCATTACAGGTCATTATGTTATTAACATTATTAACCCAAATCCATGCATGGCATGTATGTGCATGCCATGCTCACTGTGAGTTTACTTTAATTGTTTTTACACATAGATGGCTACACATGTACTAAGTCACCAATGAGCTAGTTATGAATATTGCCTGTCTCACATGTTTACCCTTTTCCTTGATTTTTTTCAAATATTTTACGTTATCTTATATTGCTGTTACTAATGCCTATAACATTATAGTAATCATAAAGTCTATGATAAAAATAACACCACTGATATTTTTATCATTAGTAAAAAAAAAAATTCCTGCCAAAGGAAAAATGAAAACAAGTAAGGTCACAGGGTCTACTAATTGACTCCTTTGTGGCTAAGACTACCAGAGCCATCTATATGCAGAGACATTTTACAAAAAAATAAAAATGAACACAGCATTTGCCTACTGGCACTGAGTCAAAAGCAATACAAGACAAAGGAGAACATTTTCAAAATTAAAGTAAAGGGTAAACACGCAAGATGGGCAGTACTAGTAATTGACTTCTGGGTGACTAAGTATTTGTGGAGACAATTGATAAACTAAACTCACAGTGGGCAAGAAATATATGTAGAAGCCATTCGGGATGGCACTGGGTTAACCTGAATTCTTTTCCTTATATTCATCCCACAATGTATCTGAAATTGCTTAGGATTCCTGTATTCACTGTTCAGATCCTATCCTAGAAATTGCTTGCCTCACCCAGAAAAATACAATATCACCCCAGCTTAAAAGAAATTCATCATCATGAAAGTTGGTACTGAAATATTATTCATTTTGTAGTATGATTACAAAGATGAAATATTTTTTATATCATTAAGACTTGACAACCATTCTTTCACCAAGAGAAATGTTAACTTTCAGGTTTTTAACCCAATAACTTGGAAATACATTTGTAATCTGGGGTGGCTGAAACATTTACCATTTGCTAGAGAGATTTCAGACATATATCAAAATTCTTGTGCATATGTATCTTCCCTTAAATAATAATAATCCCAACCCCCCCAATATTTCTTAACCCAATGTCTCCAGGAAAATGTCGTGTTCACTGTAGTGTTTTGTAAAATGTCTCTGCACATAGATGGCTCTGCCAGTGCTTAGCCACAAAGGAGTCAATTAGTGACCTCACCTAATTTCACCTTTCCTTGAGTTTGCAGGAAAACATATTTCTTATATATGCTATCAATGTCAATGCTGTTATTTTTATCATGGACATTGTAATCATTATAAAGTTATTGACACTACTAACAGAAGTATAAAATACCAAAAAATATTTTGAAAAATCAAGGAAAAGGTGAAACAGGTAGTAACATAGCTGTCATTGGTGACTTAGTGCTTGTGGAGCCATGTGTAAAAAGAATTATAAATCAAACTCATGGTAGACATGTCAGTACATACATGCCAACCCCTGCACAGTTTCAGGTTCTCTGTTATATAGCATACATAACTAAAGAATGTACATTTATGGATTTACTGTATATCCGGAAGCAAAAGGACTTGAAAAGCATGTCATTCTTATCAATATTTCATTCATCAAAGAATTTATAAAAATATGAAAATATTCATCCGGGGACTAAAATCAATACAAAAATAGTTACATTATATCTTGGGTTTACAATGATATAAAACAAATATTGCATCAAGGGAGGTAGGCCTATATACATTCTCTATCCAAGAATATACCTTAGTGTAAAATCATAAGATATACTATAACATATGGCATACATCAATGTAAGCCAAAAAACATATTCTACAATCAGCAACAGGAATTCACTAACTCCAAAGAAGTATGTCATTTATGTCATTTGAGCTGGTAAAATTTGTCTGTGGGAGGAATTAGGGAATACATGAAATGCTGAAACCAGTTGAATGCCCTGAACTATTATGTGGATAACCACTAAAAAGTGTTACAATCCCCCACTGAGATACCAGCTGACTTGGGATAACACATACTATTTACATGCCATAAACTCCTGCCTTGTATACCAAGTGTACGTATAAACATTATATACATTATATACATATATATATATATATATATATATATATATATATATATATATATATATATATATATATATATACATACATACATACGTGTGTGTGTGTGTGTGTGTGTGTGTGTGTGTGTGTGTGTGTGTGTGTGTGTGTGTGTGAGTGAGTGAGTGAGTGAGTGAGTGAGTGAGTGAGTGAGTGAGTGAGTGTGAGTGAGTGAGTGAGTGAGTGTGAGTGAGTGAGTGAGTGAGTGAGTGAGTGAGTGTGAGTGAGTGAGTGAGTGAGTGAGTGTGAGTGAGTGAGTGAGTGAGTGTGAGTGAGTGAGTGAGTGTGAGTGAGTGAGTGAGTGAGTGAGTGAGTGAGTGTGAGTGAGTGAGTGAGTGTGAGTGAGTGAGTGTGAGTGAGTGAGTGTGAGTGAGTGAGTGAGTGTGAGTGTGTGAGTGAGTGAGTGAGTGTGAGTGAGTGAGTGTGAGTGAGTGAGTGTGAGTGAGTGAGTGTGAGTGAGTGAGTGTGAGTGAGTGAGTGTGAGTGAGTGAGTGTGAGTGAGTGAGTGTGAGTGAGTGAGTGTGAGTGAGTGTGAGTGAGTGAGTGAGTGTGAGTGAGTGAGTGTGTGAGTGAGTGAGTGAGTGAGTGTGTGAGTGAGTGTGAGTGTGAGTGAGAGTGAGAGTGAGAGTGAGAGTGTGAGTGAGTGAGTGAGTGAGTGAGTGAGTGAGTGAGTGAGTGAGTGAGTGAATGAGTGAGTGAATGAGTGAATGAGTGAGGAGTGAGTGTGTGCACGGGCGTGGTCATGTGCATGTGCAAGAGTGAGCAAATTGCAAGGAAGAAAATATTTTTATACAAAAACTATGCTCATAAATCTCTTATTTCATTCTGACTATATATATTAATCAAATATCACAGTATACGCACAAAACAATGTTACAACTAGCTCAAAGGACTTAATTATTCTCATGGAGATATTTGTTCTCTCTTTCTTGAACTTTTTGTACTGTCTTATTAACAAGAGACATCACTTCCACTATAAACTCCATTTTGAGATCCTTATAAGGAGAGAGGAATTCCACACAGGACATCACAGCCTCTGTGGCCATATCATAACGGAATGGCTTTCTCTGCACCTGACTCTGACCCTGTGACGACCATGCCTCCTTCACGCAGTTGATGGATTCCGTTAAATTTTCCTCCATCTCCTCCCAAGTCCTTTTTCTCCTCCTATTTCTTGCCTCTGGCTGCGTTTCTGGAAGATCGGGCAGAGGCGAAGGCGTGGACGATACCGAGGGTTTATGGAATGCTGGTGCTTTACTATCTTCGGGGAGATCAGGGAGAGGTGAGGGAGATGACAATGACGATGAAGGGGACGACAACGTCCTGTCCTCGTTGCCTGTCATGTCTTTCTCCAGCAAGCCTTCATATACAACGACTCCATTACAGGGCATTTCCTGAAATATATACATATACACATGTATATATTGAATGAATACAGAAGATGCCCAGATACATTTTAAATACAGCAGATAATGTCTACAACAAAAAACATTTTAATTACTATTAGTGGTAAAAATACCATTCAATAAATGTAAAACAAGTATAATTTACCATCAAGTCATCTGAGTGTGTAAAACTTGATTGACTTTGACCATTATCATAGATCGGTTGCATGAATAAACAGGAATTGAAAAATTCCCATTTAGCTGGTGTTTGGCCTCCTGACCCATTTGGTGAATTCTTTATTTTCCTCAATAACTTTTGAAAGTGGCCTCGAAGATACTGGAATCTCTGGACAACATCATCTGAAATGAAAGAAAAAAAATGTAAAGGTCCATACTCATTAATATGCTAGGCTACATAGTGTGCTCGTCATGTTATGCTGAATCAATTAACCCAATGCCACTGGGGAGGGCATTTATATAAATGCCATGCCCCTCTGTGAGTTTAGTTTATTTATTATCTTTACACACAGATGACTCCAGGAGTACTAAGTCAGTTACAAGTACTACCTATCTCGCTTTTTCTTGAATCTTGGAAATATCATCTTATATTACTGTTTGTAATATCAATAACATTATAATAATCATAATGTCTATAATAATAATAACAGTATCAATATTGATAGCATTTCTAAAAAAAAAATCTAATTAATAAAAGAATAAAAAAAATCATGGAAAAGTGAACTCAGGTGAGGTCACAAAGTCACTAATTGACTTATTTGTGGTTAAGTACTTGTAGAGCCATCTATGTGCAGAATTTCACAAAACAATCCTGCAATGAACGCTACGCTTTTCCAATGACATGGGTTAAGTTAACAAAAATACAAAAAGATGTAAATCACACGTATTCAGTATATAGTATAACTATGTGATTAACTTTTTAAGATTATTTCTCGAGCAAAATTAAACGATTCTGCATTGTAGAACACACACACATGCGCACACACACATGAACACACACACACATACACACATGAACACACGCACACACACACGCACACACGCACACACGCACACACGCACACACGCACACACGCACACACACACACACACACACACAAAATATAATAATTAACCCATTGCCGACAGGCATGGCATGTACGTACATAACATGCCCATTGTGAGTTTACTTGTTTAATTGTTTTACGCATGGATACACTTGTACTAAGTCACCAATGTTATGAGTACTGCCTGTCTCACCTGTTCACCATTTCCACTGATTTACTAAAATATTTTACGTTATCTTATCTTGCTGTTACTAATGTTTATAACATTATAGTAAATATAATGATTATAATAAAAATAACACCAACGATATTCATAGCACTAGTAAAACTTATGTTTTTCCTACCAATTCAAGGAAAGGTGAAATCAAGTAAGGTCTCAAGATCTACTTATTGACTCCTTTGAGGTTAAGCACTAGCAGAGTCATCTATGTACAGAGACATTTCACAAAAATATAAAAAATGAGCACAGCATTTTCCCCATTTTTTATTAATTTTCCCTGGCAGCAATGGGCTAATGTAATGTGCAATGTATTTATTATGAAACAAATACCTATTTTAGTTTGTTCTTGAACATTTTTATCACAAATTCAGATAACTCTGTGCGTGCTGCTATAGTATATAAAATATAATTACTTGACTGGTGAATATTGAGACTTACATTTATTACATGGAATGCATCTCAATTCCAAAATTACTAAATTATAGATATCAAGAAAACAGGTAGATACTTTTCGGTTTAAAAAGGCTGGTTATCCCTGACACATGCATGGTGAATTTTTGCTGTCTTTTACTTAATATGAGCAACTGCTGTCATATCTGAAGCACAAATTTAAGGTAATACTATTTAATACTAGGGACACTTTCAGTCCTACAAGGAGATGGTATGATATATAACAGGGAAATTGTAATTAAAGACTTTTTACTTACATTTTACTTCCGAAAAATATGTGATAACATGCACACACTCCTTGGGTGCATACCTTGTCACATATTTCAACATGCATCTAATAGTTACAAGCACACAGACTATAGCTTTAGAGTGAACGAGCTTGCACACAACATAACATAAAAATAACAGAGTCAGTGCTACCTATGTAGAAGTAGTAATGCATTTTCACCAAAACTTTTAACAGAAAATTGGAGTGGGTAAACTGTTATTGTGACATTAACATTATCTATATAAGAATAAAAAATACCAATATCTGAGTCCACCTGTCTTTAACTGACTTGTCTCATTTACATTCACATAGTTATGCATAGCTGACTCCAGACCGAGGCTTCTATGGCACCTGTATTTCTAGCTGTACATCTTGATTTATAATTACACTACAATGCTAAGCTCACAAGGGTAAACTGGCAAGACAGGCAGTACTCATAATTGGTTCATTGGTGACTTAGTACAAGTGTAGCCATCTATGTGTAAAAACAATTAATAAAGAAAATTAAAAGTGGACATGTCATGTACATACATGCAATGCCTGTCAGCTTTGGGTTTAGGGTGACCATCCTTTGTTACAATATAGTACTAGTCATAAAACATTTGTAAATAACATTTTAAATGATTTTTGGACAATATGTAGTATAAGGTAGTGGTAGAGTTGGATAATAAAACCTACATGAAATGACAGAACAATATCTTGTTTAAATTGCGACAGTGAATTCTAGATGCATATACTACCACGGGGGTCCAGGGGGCATAGCCCTCTGGCAAAGCGTATATACTACGACGGGGGTCTAGGGGGTAGAGCCCCCTGGCTAAGGAATATATACCACAGTGTTAGGTTAGGTTGGGTGTTGGGTTAGAACGTTTTGTTTAAAAACCACAGGGGTCCTGTTTTACCCCATAATTTCCCTGATATACTTCATACCCTCCCCTGCTACCGGGACTATCAAATCAAGATTGTCGATGGAGATGGTGATCATATCTCCACGATTTATTTGCACAAGGAACACCTAGAATCGTTGGAAGCAGTGGATTTTAAGCAAAAAAATATCAAAATTGTTTCAAAAGTAACCCACTACCCTCATCGACATGTTGTCCTGATTTTGTTTAAAATTTTGAACAATCTTTATATTATCCCTACCAATGAATTTGCTTTGTTTACTTTTTTTTCAGATATGTGATTTGAGAAATTTAGTTTTATCAAAAATGTGATTTAAAACAAGTAGCATTCAACAATTAGACTATCATCGTGTACTAAAAGAGCAACACTGTGGCCAACATGTACATGAAAATAGTGGAGATGTACTTGCATTCTAGATGAAATGTAAATATATATAATCTTTTACGGAGAGCATCAACTAATGGCTGCCATTAGTTGATTATATACAGAAATTGCATATAAATGTAATGAAGTATTCATGATGTCTCCATACCAAAGGCACACCAACAAAGGTAAGCAATCCTCCCCCCTGTGTATATTCTTGCAAGACGTAGCTCTTATTCTTTCTTTTCTAAGGAATTCTGAGTGTCAGTTTACAAGCTAAATCTTGTTATGACAAATGGGAGTTTTTTGGGGTTGTTTACCAGGATAGTGAGAGGTACAGATAGCAATTATTGCTTGACACTCAAAACATGTCATGTCAATATCATCACTTTTGTTGGTTTCTGCAAACTAGAACTACTATAGGCTACCTTGAAAGTATTATTTTATAGTCCATTAATATCAATTTATAGATAAGTGCAATGTGCAACTTTACTTTACAATTACCAATCTTAGACCTTGTTTTGATCCTTACATATCGGGCAGAAATCAAGTATTAAAATTCAGCTGATATGTTAAAATCTGCAGGGGAGATATTTTGCTCACAGAAACTAATAGTAGAGTTAATATCAACAGATTATTATCAATATTTAAAACCCATATACATAGCAGTAACAGCTAGAAGAATTAGTAAATCACGACAATCTGTTCCCATCACTACTCTTACATACAATCAATTAATTCTACTAATACACAGTAGACATAAGGAATAAATTGGTACCAAACTCAGTAGACTTCATGATGCAATTCTACCTTATTCTAATTGATAGTTTTATATGAAAAAAACTGCATAAAATATGTTTTAATCACATCATTTAACATAAAAACAGTGAAATCCTAGCATGTCTGTCACTTTCTTATATCCAATAATTAACACAAAACTCAATTCTCTAAACCAACCAACTAATCCAAATCCTGAATGGAATCTACTCTGCATCCCAGGCAATTGCATTTAATAGCCACAGATCACGAAATTATCCAAGCCACAAGATCCTTCACCTGTAGTGAGTGCATGGAGGTGCTCGTGCTCGGACTTCAGCTCCAGGCACACTTGGTCGAAGCAGCTCCTCCTCAGGTTCTTTTTGCTGAAGAAGCGGTGACTGGTGTCCCACAGCACCTCCCGGGCCCTGATCTTCTCCAGAAGGGACTTGGTGAGGCCGGGGCTCCAGACGAAGGCCATTCCTGCGGCCGAGGATTTCGGGTCGAAGCTCAAGCGAGAGCCACAGATCTTGTTTTTTGTTTTTGTTTTTGTTTTTTTTAGCTATAAATTGTCAAATATAAGAACTTGTACTTTAATATAGAGATGTTTTTCATATAAAATGCCAAATATACGAGCTTGTACTTTTAAAAGAAAATGTACTTTAATATAGAGATGTTTTTCATATAAAATGTCAAATATACAAGCTTGTACTTTTATATAGAGAGATGTTTTATATTAAACGTCAAATATACGAGCTTGTACTTTTATCCAGAGATTTTTTATATAGAATGTCAAATATACAGGCTTGTATTTAAATACAGAGAGGGGTTGCATTCAGAGACATTCAGACTCTGGTACAGAATATATATTAAAATACATTATTAAGAGTTAATAGAGTTTAAACGTCCTCAACCTGCCTTGCGTTCGGTGGGCGAAGAGCGACAGGAACTTCTCTCTCCCTTTTGTTTCAAAGATAATCAGCAGAAAACCTGTGATAATTATACCAACACTATATTTCAGAGTGAGCTACGACGCCTCAGCCTTATCAGTTTCAAGACTCGAGAAGAGGTTTATCGCTCTGGAGGGGAGGCAGGCCCATAGGTGTCATTTTTGTAGGTATTAATGATCTAAGCGGTTGCCTTAAAAATATAAACTATAATTTTGTAATTATAACTCAATTGCAAATATTTGGGAGTCACCATTTACAAGCCTAACCTATCAGCATGTAATGCTAGAGTAACCCGTGAAAAACAAGCACACTTTCCTATGCTTATTAAGGTTTCGTTGTACAATAGTAGCATATTAATTATAATGATAAAAATACGTTACTTTCCTAATACATCTTTTGTTTTGCAAAGCTAGTTTAGTAAAACGTGGATAGGGCTGTTAGTTGCTACTCTTAAATACTTAGTTAGATTTTCATGAACAATATGGAGAAGTTGGAACAATGGTATTCCATACGGACAGATACTTCAAGAATTTTCTGTATCTTCTATATGTATTTTATTTATATATATTTATACATATATTACTTTACTTTTATCCAGAGAGATTTTTTATATAGAATGTCAAATATACAGGCTTGTATTTAAATACAGAGAGGGGTTGCATTCAGAGACATTCAGACTCTGGTACAGAATATATATTAAAATACATTATTAAGAGTTAATAAAGTTTAAACGTCCTCAACCTGCCTTGCGTTCGGTGGGCGAAGAGCGACAGGAACTTCTCTCTCCCTTTTGTTTCAAAGATAATCAGCAGAAAACCTGTGATAATTATACCAACACTATATTTCAGAGTGAGCTACGACGCCTCAGCCTTATCAGTTTCAAGACTCGAGGAGAGGTTTATCGCTCTTTGGGCTCCCGGGAGGCATTAGGGGAGGCAGGCCCATAGGTGTCATTTTTGTAGGTATTAATGATCTAAGCGGTTGCCTTAAAAATATAAACTATAATTTTGTAATTATAACTCAATTGCAAATATTTGGGAGTCACCATTTACAAGCCTAACCCATCAGCATGTAATGCTAGAGTAACCCGTGAAAAACAAGCACACTTTCCTATGCTTATTAAGGTTTCGTTGTACAGTAGTAGCATATTAATTATAATGATAAAAATACGTTACTTTCCTAATACATCTTTCGTTTTGCAAAGCTAGTTTAGTAAAACGTGGATAGGGCTGTTAGTTGCTACTCTTAAATACTTAGTTAGATTTTCATGAACAATATGGAGAAGTTGGAACAATGATATTCCATACGGACAGATACTTCAAGAATTTTCTGTATCTTCTATATGTATTTTATTTATATATATTTATACATATATTACTTTACTTTTTTCTTTTTTTACTATAAAGTTAGATCAAGCGCTGTAATCAGTCTGTCATTATCTATTTGTGTGTGTGTGGGGGGGGGGGGGGAATGTAAGATAAGAAAACATACAAGTCATTTCATTGAAATCGCAGGATATTCACCTCGATCACCACAGCCATTGATGGCATTGTCATGAAAAGACACGGAGATTATTTGGATGTCGCCATTCCAGAAGCATTTTAAAGCATTTTTGAGTACATTGTAGTACTTTTGTGTTGATTGATACAGCAAACAGGACATCAGTGTTAGCAGTAGTAAACAAGCTTTCATGGTTTCAGTAAAAACAAAAAATAAACATGTATCCTAAACTATAAGCTTCATGTGTGCCCTTTTTCTCAATATGTAGATCCTATATATACATGAAAAATACTAGCATTTTTCGCTGCCATTAGTAGGTTTAAATTATCATATATGTGCTTTGCTGAAGTGAATGTACTTACATTATCCTTATTACCTTGCGTCATAAAGGAGAGTGTCTGAGTGATTATTTTTTTTAATTTATAACTAGGTACTTAGTTTATTTTCTGTTAAAAGTGGAGGACAACTCGGGATCTTTGAAATACTGATATGGGATGGGGTGTATCTTGACTTATAAATTAGATCTGTCAAAGAAGGTTAGCGTGCTTCCGTGGTCACTGCATTTTAATCATACAGCCAGTATACCTAGGGAGACTGAATGCCATATGTTGATTTCACAGCTTTTTTATTATTATTATTATTATTTTATTTCATATATACTAAAGAATAATGCCGTTGATGTCGCTCGTCAAAATTATGCCTTATAACAAGAAAGTGAGAAAATTAAACAGGCTCTTTTTATTTGTCTGCAGTTCTTTGATTCGATTCTCTGATTAGAGTAAATTCCGATCCGTATATAACTTTTTTCTCATAAAACGCCTTACACTTTGATGCTAGATATTTGTTGGGTGTATGAAGCCAATGATGTGTGTGCGAGGCTGAGGAGGAGGATCGAGTTCTGGGAAGTTAATGGAAAATGTGTTTATGTATCCATCTCCAGACGCTTAGTTCCCCTACGGGTAATTACAGTTATAGTCCCTCCCGGCTAGACCTGTCTAGTCCGGGTTCACTTTTGGGGATGGTCAACAAATTTAAAAGACCATGGCCGTTCCTAGATTTTAGAGTCTAAGTACGACCTCATCCTTCCCTATTGAGGGAGGGGGCGAAGTGGTAATTGTTTATGTACTCCTGATAAAAGATCAAAGTCACTTGGAGGTGTCCAGTCCCTCCATGGGGGCGTTATGCAAATGTACCGAAGACCTATTGGGGGCCTTAGGCCAGTGTCCCACGCTGCCTATATTTATGATATATGTTTATCTGGCTAACAACACTAGGCCTGGCCGAATGGGAGATAGTCCCCGGCCAGAGAACGGACTAGACCTGGCTATCTGGAAAAGCTTATAAACCCTGGTTTAGTGCGGGAACGCTTTCATTTTCTTTAACATCATTTACTCTTGGTTTGCTTGTTTAATTACTTGATTTTATACTGGGATACGCCTTCAGACCTCGCTGGTACCAACGAACTGCGCATGGGGTCTACTGCGGAATAATAGTTTAATCCGCAGATCTTCGCAAAGTGTGTTTGTGTAATTCACGATTTGTATTCACGATTTTGTAGAATATTCATCAAGATTGGGAGTTTCAGCAGAAATATGAAATATGAATATATGGGTGTCCTAAATTAGCTATTAAAGCTCGCATTCGTTGCAGTAGACCCAATGCATGGGTCTCCGGGAAAAATAGTAAGAGTGATCTTGTAAACCAGAAAAAACAGGGTACTGAAATGCGTTTGAGTTAGGTTTGAATAATCACTAGGCTCAAGAAACGCCTGTTTGTATTGTCGAAATCATCACTTATATGATATAATGGTGAAACAACAAATATTTGATGTGATGTCTGTGGTTTCTGAAATTTGACAATATGATGTATATGGCAACGGCAGTTGTCTCGCACTTCTGCCACGATTATGTTGTGTTTTTATGGTCGAACAGAGGTGTTGCTTTTTCATTTGGAAGTAAAAGATTTAGCGCTGAAAAGAGGGAGAAAGCTTATGCGTTTATATGCCTGTGAAGGGGATGAAGGATTACTTATCATTTCCAGAATAATAAAAAAAAAAAAATAACAGCCTATGTAAGGCTGCAATAAGTTGCAGTTACTCATAACTTGAAATTATTTTTTTCTTTTTCGTTATTCTCAATTCTTTTTAAGATTCGTTAACGTTACAATCTTGATGTTATCTGAACGGAGATAAATCCCAGTACAACAACTAGGTGTAGTGGGCGACGAGGTGATCTTGGGAAAGAAGAGAACCTTGAGGCCTTACCCTTCCCCTCTCTTTCCCTCCCCTTCTCTCCCTTCCCTTGCCATTCCTTCCCTTCCCTCCCATTCCCCTCTCTCTCTTCCCTTCCCATTCCCTCCCTTCCCCGCCCTTCCCCCTCCCCCTTTC